AAATATTCTATCCAGAAAAAATAAACAAGTATATTATGGGAAAACTTTTACAATAATACAAAAAGAGGAAACATTAAACATCAATAAAAAAAGAACTATACCTGAAATCATTAAGAAAATATCCCTATGCATTTTAAAGATCATAGAGTTCTACAGTCTCTTTTTATTTATTATGTATGAGATGTAAATGAAAAAATAAAATTGACGGAGGGATTGCAATCACTTCATTTCAAGGCCAATTGAAGAAATATCATGAGCAATGAATCACTATATATGATGAACACATCTGCTTAAGTGTTGAATGTACTACACTGATTAGACTTAACAACTCACAATCTAAAGGGGATTTGAATTTATAAAACTTCCATATATATTTTTCAGTACTAAATGCAAACAAGCACTTGATAAAATAAGGTTTCTTATGTCTAAAATCATCACAATTGTGCAAATATTAAATGTTTAATCTAGTCCCTATGACCAAATTTCTGCTCTAAAATTGCATCATTCTGTACCACATCTCTTAAACATGGATTTCTATATGTTCTGTAAAACTTACTGTATTCGTTTGCATTTGATATATTTCCATTGATGTTTCTAATTTGAAATTTATAATTTCACAGATTTCAAGATTGATACAACTTGCTACATATCTGTCCATGGCATCTAAATCACAAATATGAAGGTGGACCCATCTTTCTTTCCCAATTGTGCATTCACCTCTCTCGTGTAGTTCAGATTCTTTACACTGTTCTTTCCTCAAGTTTCTTCCCTTGCCCTGTTGAGTAGAATTTTCTTGCTTTGTGAATGAGTGAATAAATTTCATCTTCTGGCATAAACTTTTAAAAACTTTATTGTGTTATTTAAATCCTCACTATGGGACTCTTTTTTGTATGAATGTGTGTATAGAGTGTGTGTGATTGACCATGTTTGTACAGTCTTATGTGCATTTATATCAAGGTCTTTATGTGCAGAACAAGCATAAAATCTGGGTTTGAGTTCTTCTTATCTACCTTCATCTGGGTGCTAGGCATCAAAATCAGATTTGCAAATTAAGAATCCAAAGCATTGCTGGGCAGTGTTAGCACACGCCTTTAATCCCAGCACTCAGAAGGCAGAGCCAGGTGGATCTCTGTGAGTTTGAAGCCAGCCTCGTCTACAGAGTGAGATCCAGGATAGGCACCAAAACATCACAGAGAAATCCTCTCTCAAAAACAAACAAACTACAAACAAACAAACAAAAATCCAACACTTTACATTACACACTGGACTATCTTATTGGTCTATGTCACATTTTAATTGAAACAAATTTTCTGACTACCACATCCATACACAATATTCGCTGCACTTCCATATTTACATGTAAAAGTGGCGGAGGGGTTGACTGTGAAGTTTATATCAAATGAAATTCTAAACTTAAGACTGCTGATTTATAAAGAGTTTAAATCAAAATATAAGTCAATTTGAAGCCTCAGTGCCTAGCTCAAATGGAATAAAGCCATCTGATTGGATCCAAAAAAAAACATGATGTATGTTCCATAAACACATGATGAAAGATCTTGTAACCAAGACAATTACATGGATTGGAGTAAAAATATTCAAAACAGAAGTCATGGGTTGTACCTAGGGACTAATATCTCTCAAGTAAGGAGCTCTAACCCAGGATTACACAACCTGACATGAAGATACTCCTGAAGAACTGGCCTCAAATGCAATTAGAAAACTATATTTTTCTATAGTAAAAATTATATGATAAAATTCAAATATTCAAAACTGAGTGCATCTTGCCAGTGGTGAATGTAGTAGCATTGAGGATCAAGTGCTAAGTAAGACCACTCATTTCCTGCCTACTCTTAAGTAATGTTTTACACCTTCTAGTGTGATGTTATCTAGCAATCCCATGGGTGTCTATCAACTTTAATCATTATGATTAGTTTGGGGTCATATCTACTTACCTTCCTTCCCACGGACACCCCACTTATGCATAAAATTTCAGTAGATATTTATCTACTACACTTTCTTATCTGCTGTGTACCACTATGTGGAATTTTTGGAATGATTTTTTTTGTGGTTTAATGATGGTATATTGTCTTAACTATCCTTCATACATTCAATATGTTGTTTAATTCATCAAAGTATATCTCATTTCACCCCTCACGTTGCTAATTCAACACTCTAACCCTGTATTTTATTTTCTAATACCAATTTTTCCTTTGTCTACTGTTCCCTGTTCTGTAAGCTAATTACCCACAGTGGGCAGTTTCTGGATGAGACTCATTTTAACTCCAGATTAAATATACAAAATAAAAATATTGAAAGCTAGTGTCTACATATGAGACTTTTATCTACATGAAAAAAACTTTAATTAGAGTAGCTCACAAGTCCATAGTCAATAACTCAATATTCTTATTTGGTTTTCACCCAATAACAGTTGCAAATAAAAATTTTAATGGGATATGACAATAATTATTATCAGTCTTCTGAAGCTATCAATCTTAACTGCTATATTAAATTACACATCATTTGTTAAGAGAGTACAAACTCAAAGGCATTTTACTAAATATATCATATAAACTTGATTAGCCCACAAGACTTTGAGTAACAAAGAAATTTCATAATGGCCCTCTGAAAGGCATATATGGACTCATACTACAGTCTCTGGTCCTAATTTTCTTGATCAGCAGAACATTGAGAAAATTAACCAACTTCAAGAGAAATAATGAGTCTTTATCCAGTTTATAACATGAGTCCTCCTGAAAGTCCTCAGACAAAGCAATCTTTTGAAACCTCTTTGAGGACCTCACTACAAAAGCTTTGTAGCATTTGTCATTTTGGTCATTTGTGTTCACATCAATTTAAATGAAAGCCTTCATGGTACAGTGTTGTGTAAATAATGGCTGACAGATGCCGCATTTTTTGTGTTTGTCAGGAAGTTGACGGATACAACATACATTTTAAAATGGTTTATTAGATGGATCAGTCAACGTGTGTTTGGTTAGTTTGAAGTAATCTGCCTGGAGGATGTTCTGGGCTTTTGAAGACACCATAAGTGCCATCAAAATCAATACAATGGTGAGTGGCCATTTCAACATCATGTGCCCTCTCCATTTCCGTAAGATATGTGCATGCTCCACTTTCTTCTTCTCATTCCCCCTCTAAAGACTGTGGAGCCTCCCTTTTCCTCTTTTGATATGACACTGTTTGAATGAAGAGTGCTAGTTTACCAGGCTTCTATAGTTATCTCTCATCGGCTGGCCATGATCAAGACCTCTGACATGTACTGTTGCTAGGTCCTTAGGCAGTCTCTTCAGGATCAGGAATTCTGACATCGACTAAGGAACTCTGCCAGCTGCTGTGATTAGGTCCTCAGGCAGACTCTGAACAATCTGGAACTCTGACATCGACTAGGAACTCTGATGGCAACTGTTGCTAGGTCCTCAGACAAACTCAAATTTGGCTCTCAAGGAGTACGGTTCTTGCATGCCTTGGCTACTGGTCTGAGCCAATTTCCTACACTCTGTGGGCCTGTCCTACTACATATCTACCCTGTATTTTTTACCAAATCATATTAAGGGACCCTGGTCAGTTCAGCTTCTATATTATCCACAACAGCTAACACAAAATTTTCCAAATTAATCAGACATGGGCAGGGGTTATGGCCTTGACTATTTTTTAAACTCTTGGCATGATATAGAAAGGCAGTTGGATCCCTGCTGGATTCTCACTTGTGTTCTGATTGGCAGGGGGCACTTTTAATCTCTCTCCTTTTTAAATGGCTTCCACCATACATGCAGCAACAATGGAAGTGACTGTGGTGACTCTACAGAAGTCAATCGCTCTTAGTCATCCAGCTCACGTCCCTTCACAGACCTGTGCATGCCTGGCTTTCTGAAATCCCACAGGCCTGACCCTCCCAACGCAGGGTGACTCCCCAGGGATGGACACACTTCAAGGACTGGTATTCCAATATGCCTGCATTTCACATAACCTGAGCTGGTACACATGAGCCAACATGATGAAACACATTGTATTGCCAGTTACCTGTGTTTTTAAGTCAAAGGTTGCATATACAAGGTCGATGGGTGAAAATGGAGTTATTGTTATTTCATGTTTAGGCAACAGGATGGATGCCAACTCTACACACTTCTGCTTCACCAAATTTTTACTTCCATCATAAGCCCATCAGGTGAGTATCTTATACTTTCAGGTGACTAAATATATATGCAGTCCATTAAATTCATAGTTATAGTACTTAACATTGTGGTAGCTTTAACAAACTGTTTTAAAAAGTAAACTGATTCAGAAGAGGTTGACATTTGCATCATTGTCTCAGAAACATCGAGAGAGACCATTGCAGAGCCAAAGCCAAGGTGAAGATGCTTATGTGACAGCATTCACAATGTTCCCTGATAAGTTCTCTACTCTCCCAGAAAACTGGGCTCAGAGAGGAAAAAGTGTAACCAGAGGTGTGTGAAATATTAAATCTATTCTAATGGTCCTTCTACATCATTTTGGCTCCTCATCCTCAATTTCCACAGACATCACACCCCATGAACCTTGTGGGAACATTTGCCCATCCTGTTCATCTTAAGTGGATCAGAAGTTTCTAGAAGACGTTTTACAAGAGTTTGAAACAGAAACACTGATAAATGCATGATGTTAGTGAAATTATTATCAGTTGATTATATGGATAATCTTGGTAACTTCAGAGATTTCTAGTACAGGATAAGATAGTTTTTGCATGAAGAAAACTAAATAAAATATTTTACCTGATGATACAGTGAGAAAGTCAGTGTTTGAGGATCATGCCAGTCTGAAATAGTAGCAAGAAGTTTATGAAAATTATAAAAACTGTGCTGTGGTTAAGTCACTTAAATTTTATGAGAGTAAAAAAAAAAATGACCCTACATATTTTATTGGACAGTTATAGAATTTCAGTATTACACTTTGCTAAATAATTTTTTAAAACTCATATGTAGAATGTTAAAATTTAAAAATTTAAAAAATTAAAAGTTACACATGCTGGGGATCACACTTCTTAGGGAAATATAAAAAATGCAAAAACTTGTGTTTTAGATTTATTTATTTAGTCAAATCATGTACTATCATTTGTGTTTTTCAATTTCCATTTACCAAATAAAATGTATATTTAAGTAGAATTTTGTGACGCACAATTACATATAATTATTATTTCATAAACCATAAAATCAATTAATTTTATTAACAAATTTTTAAAGAACTTAAAAGTTAAAATGAATGCCTTAAATTTTTTGAATTTTCACAGTGTCTTCTTGATTGCCAGATACTAATGACTGTCACTGGGAATTAATTCAGAAACTACAATAAATTTTAAAAATTTATTTATTTAGTTCATTGATATTGGAATTCATACTTTATGAAAACACGAAAACTTATAATCCAATCAAAGTAAAGAACAGAATACTAATCTGCTACTCTAATCCAAATGAAATGTTTCTTCTCAGTCTCAGGTGTCATTTTGTTTGTACTATATCCGGTTTCAACCACCACAGTCATCATGTGCATACATTTTGTTGAAAACAATGGAAAATACAGAAATATGTGTGCAGCATTCTGTAAGTGTAATATCTAAATTTAGGTGGTTGTGAACATGTTTATTAGGCTGCCTTTTTCATAAGAAAATATTTAACACCTGTTTTCAAGAATCAATATTCCTTGGCAGGAAGTCTCTCTTCAGTTATGTAGAGAACCACAATTTGAGGTACATAGAATCCTTAAATAAATTTCCATACCATATTTAGTCAGAAATGTCTATGAAGTGAGTGGCAAGCATCACATATATAAGAGTTTTCACAACCAAAGATTGTGTGTCACCATCCTCGGGGAGAAGTGAAGAAATACCTTCACAAAACTAAAGACTTCATTTTGACATCAAATTTATTGTAAAATTAACAATACTTATGAAAATGAACATAAACTGTCTATCAGATATAAGTCCATTAATTGTGAAGTACCTTGGTGTACCCAGAATGCTGACTTAGTCTCCATATATAATTCTAGAAAGTAAAATATCATTATCTGAAAATCTTTAAAAAAGAAACAACATTACATTTACTAGATATCAAATTAGAGATTGGCATTTGTCCTTTGCAAGAAGACTCTCGAAGGAAATGATTAATGAAAACTCTGGTATGTTAACCATTCTGAAGTAGAATACCACATGCCCATCAATATCATCATCACAAAACAGAGTTGATAGGTTAAAAGAAAATGTGTGTGTGTGTGTGTGTGTGTGTGTGTGTGTGTGTATTGACTGAGTAGAAAATAATTGGCAGTGGATCTCAATGGACCTTCAGCAATGTGTATTTCCTCCACATTCACAGAACACTTAAGAAATTAAATTTAAAAATAAATAAAGTTATGTAGGTCTAGACAAAAAAATGAGAGATTCATACTTCAAAAACAGCCATACGTCTAATGGTCATCTCTTTTTACTCCCTTATTTAATAAAGCAAAAGAAGCCAGTCTCAGTGAAGAATTATGGGACATCTATGTGGAAATGTCTGTTGCATAAGGAATCTGAAGAGAAAATATACAAAATATCATCAAAAACGGTAAATATTTGTGTTTCACAAAGAGGATATTGATCTGTAATGAGAAAATAATGAAATTTCTTGATTTCCATTTCCATTCTTGAAAAACAGAAATAAAAATTATTGAGCCAATGAATGAAATTTTTAACTTTGTATATCTTGTACTTCACAGACACCTGTCCTCAATGAACCTATGGATTTGGTGAGTTAAAGTAAAATAAAAACATTTGTCTGTCAGAATTCAATATAATAAACAAAACAACCATTTAATAAAAATATTCTATCCAGAAAAAAAACAAGTATATTATGGGAAAACTTTTACAATAATACAAAAAAGGTAGAAACATTAAAACATCAAGAAAAACAAAAACCATATGTGAAATCATTAAGAAAATATTCCTGTGCATTTTAAAAATCATAGAGTTCTACAGTCTCTTTTATTTACTTTGTATGAGATGTAAATAAAAAAAATAAAATTGACTGAGGGACTGCAATCACTTCAAGGCCAATTGAAGAAATATCATGAGCAATGAATCACTATATATGATGAACACATCTGCTTAACTGTTTAATGTGCTGCACTGACTAGAATTAACAACTCACAATATAAAGGGGATTTGAATTTATGAAACTTACATATATATTTTTCTGTACTAAATGCAAACTGAAGCACTTGATAAAATAAGGTTTCTCATCTAAAATCATCAGAATTGTGCAAATATTAAATCTTTAATCTAGTCCCTATGATCAAATTTCTGCTCAAGAATTCCATCATTCCTCACCTCATCTCTCAAACATGGATTTCTATAGGTTCTATAAAACTTAGTGTATTCATTCACATTTAATATATTTCCATTGATGTTTCTAATTTGAAATTTATACTTTCACAGGTTTCAAGATTGATACGACTTGCTACATATCTGTCCATGGCATCTAATTCACAAATTTGAAGATGGACCCATCTTTCTTTCCCAATTATGCATTCACCTTTCTTGTGGTGTTCAGATTCATCACACTGTTCTTTCTTCAAGTTTCTTCCCTTGTCCTGTTTAGTGGAAATTTCTTTCTTTGTGAATCAATGAATAAATTTCATCTACTGGCATAAAATTTTTGAAAATCTTGAGTTGTTTAGTTAGTATTAAATATAAATCTCCAGTGTGGGACTCATTTCCTCTATGAATGTGTGTATAGAGTATGTGTGAATGCTATGTTTGTACAGTCTTTGTGTGCATTTATATCAAGGTGTTTTGTGAAGTACAAGCAAAAAATCTAGGTTTGAGTTCCTCCTATCTACCTTCTTCTGGGTTCTAGGCATCAAAATCAGATTGTCAAATTTAAGAATCCAAAGCTTTGCTGTGCAGTGGTGGCACATGTCTTTAAACCCAGCACTCAGGAGGCAAAGCCAGGAGGATCTCTGTGAGTTCAAGGCCAGCCTGGTCTACAGAGTGAGCTCCAGGACAGGCACGAAAACATCACAGAGAAACCCTGTCTTGAAAACAAACAAACAAACAAAAACAAACAAACAAAAATCCAGCACTGTACACCCTGGACAATCTTATTAGTCTATGTCACATTTAAACTGAAACAAATTTTCTGAATGCCACAATCGTGCCCAATATTGGGTGCACTTCAATATTTACATGGAAAACTGTGGGGGGGGGGAGTTGAATGTGAAGTTCATATCAAATGAAATTCCAAACTTAAGACTTATTTATAAAGAGTTTAAATCAAAATGTAAGTCAATTTGTAGGCTTAGTGCCTAACACTAATGGAATAAAGCCATCTGGTTGGATCCAACAAAACACGATGTGTGCTTCATAATTAAATGATGGAAGATCTTGTAACCATGACAATTAAATGGATTGGGGTAAAAATATTCAAAACAGGAGTCATGGGTTGTACCTAGGGTCTAATATTTCCAAAGTAATGAGCTTTAGCTGAGGATTACACAACATGGTGTGTGTATATTCCTGCAGAACTGGCCTCAAATCCAATTAGAAAACTATATTTTTCTATAGTAAAAATTATATGATAAAATTCAAATATTCAAAACTGAGTGCATCTTGTCAGGGGTGACTGTAATAGCATTCAGTGTCAAGTGCTAAGTAAGACCATGGATTTTCTTTCAACTCTTAAGCAATGAATGTTTTACACATTCAAATGTGATATTATCCAGCAATCCCATGAGTGTCTATCAACTTTCTTCAATTATGATTAGTTTGGGGTCAATATCTACTTTCCTTCCTTCCACAGACGCCTCCGCTTCTGCATAAAAATTTCAGTAGATGTTTATCTACTACATTTTCTTCTCTGTTGTGTACAACTATATCCATTAACTGAATGAGTTTTGTGGTTTAATTATGGTAGATTTTCTTAACTATACATTCCACATTTTGTTTAATTTGTTAATGGACATCTCATTTCCCCTCTCACATTGTTAATTCAGCACTCTAACCCTGTATTTTATTTTCAAATGCCAATGTTATCCTTTGTCTACTGTTCCCTAATCTGTAACTGCTTACTCACAATGGGGAGTTTCTGGACGAGACTCATTTTAACTCCAGATTAAATATTCAAAATAAATATATTGAAAGGTAGTGTCTACATATGAGACTTTTATCCACATTAAAAACACTTATTTAGAATAGCTCACAAGTCCAATTTCAAGGACTCAATATTCTTATTTGGGTTTCAACAAATAACAATTTCAAACAGAACATTTAATTTGATATGTCAATGATTATGATCAACCTTCTGAATCCATCAATTTTAACTGCTATTTTAAATTACATGTCATTTGTTAAGAGTGAACAAACTCAAAGGCATTTGACTATGTATACCTTATACTCTAGACTCAGGCCACAGGAAATTAAGTAATAAGAAATTTCATAAGGACCCTCTGAAAGGCATGTATGGAATCACACTACAATCTGGGGTACTATTTTTTTTGATCCACAGAATGTTGAGAAAATTAACCAATTTCAAGTTTAAAAAACACCATCATTATTCATTTTCTGACATGAGCCCTCCCATAAGTCCTCAGACAAAGAACTCTTTTGAAACCTCTTTGAGGACCTCAATACAAACATTTTGTAGCTTTTTTATTTCGGTCATTTGTATTCACATGAATTTAAATGAAAGCATTCATGGCACAGTTTGTGTAAATGTCGGCTGGCAGAGGCCGCATTGTTTGGAATTCTCAGGAAGCAGATGCATACAACATACATTATAAAAGAGGGTTTATTAGACAGAGAAGTCAATGTATGTTTGGTCATTTTGAAGTACTCTGCCTGGAGGATGTTTTGGGCTTTTGAAGACACCATAGGTGCCATAGAAAACAATGCAACAGTGAGCGTCCATTTCAATATTATATGCCATCTCCATTTCAGTAATATATATGTATGTTCCCCTTTCAGGCTCTCCTTGACCCTCTAACAATTGTGGAGCATACCTTTTCATCATTGGACAAGACATCATTTGGACAAGGAGTGTTAGATTAGCAGGCTTGTGTGGTCATCTCTCATTGGCTGGGCACTATCAGGACCACTGACATAGACTGTTGCTAGACCCTCATGCAGACTCTGCAGGATCAGGAATTCTGACATCAACTAGGATCTCTGATGGTGACTCTTGCTAGGTCTTCAGGCTGACTCTGCACAATCAGGAGCTGTGACATGGACTAGGAACTCTGCAAGCTCCTGTTGCTAGGTCATCAGACAGACTCTGAGCATTCTGGAACTCTGACATTGACTAGGAACTCTGATGGCAACTGTTGCTAGGTCCTCAGGCAGACTCAAGTTTGGCTCTCAAGGAGTAAGGTACTTGCATTCCTTGGCTACTGGTCTGAGCCAATTTCCTCAACCATGTGGGTCTGTCCTACAATAAATCCACCTGCTATTTTATTACCTAAATATATTAAGGGTCAGCTCAGCTTCCATATTATACACGATACCTAACTCACAAAATTTTCCAATTAAATTAGACAAGGGCAGAGGTAATCGCTTTTGACTATTTTTTTAATTCAGCATGATATAGAAAGGATGTTGGATCCCTCCTGGATTCTCACTTGTGTTTTGATGGATGGGTGGCACTTTTAATGTTTCTCCTTTTTAAGTGTCTCCCACCACACATCCAGCAACATCGGACACCACTGAAGTGACTCTACATACTCTACACAGGTCAATTGCTCTTAGGTATCTATCTCACAGCCTTCCACAGACCTGTACATGCCTGGCTTTCTGAAATCCAAAAGGCCTGACCGTCCCAACTCCGTGATGACTCCCCAGGGATGGACGCTCTTCAAGGACTGGTCGTCACAGACGGTAAAACCATGCTTGGAAAGCCAACCTAAGACAGGCACAGTCTAGTTACTGGGAACCCTGAGGCAGGGTGAACAGGGCCTGAGCAAAGGACTCTGACTACCACTGAGCCCTCATGTAATAAAATAAAGGGTGGATATGTGATAGGACAGGCCCATAGGGTCGAGGATATTGACTCAGACCATTTGCCAAGGCATGCACATGCCGACTCCTTATGAGCCAACCTGGAGTCTGCTGAGGGCCTAGCAACAGGCTCTGTCAGAGATTCTGATCATGCCCAGCCAATGAGGGATGACCACCCAATGCCACCAGATTGTGACACAGTCTGGGTGCTAGGCAGAGAGTATAAAAGGCCTTTCTCTGTTATTGAAAAAACAGGTTTGCTCTTTTCCTTCAATGAACTTTTGGTGTATATGTGATTGATTCCATTTCTTCTCACTCACTCCCCTATGGGAGCTGTTAGTTTCCACTAACACCTCCCTGACTCTGATCCCAACTCTTAATCACAATCTGGAAAAGTCTTATATTTACTTTCAGTAACAGAACTGTGTCTGTCTTAGTTTGGCTTGCCAAGCAAGGTCTTACCTGTCTGTGACTACCAGCCCTTGAAGAACGTCCATCCTAGGTGAGGAG